AAGTTTTGATAACCTGTCTTTGCTTTTTAGAATCGTTTTTGAGCTCATTTTTTATCGCGCTTTTGGTATTAAGTTGCATAGCTAATGGTTTGCATGAAACATTTAAAAAACGTTTTATTGTTTTTTGTTTTTAAACTATTTACTTAATTTTTAATTAATTTGATTGGTTCAATCTGGCTGGAAACTCTGTTTGTTTGAAGTCGATTCAAATGAGACGCTACTATCATTAATATTTTTCTTTGCAAATAATTGAGGGCTTCCAGAAAACACCAAGCCTCATGTTGATTTTGCGTGCGAATCTGAACGAGGAAAGTTTTCGTTCCGGTAGAGCTGTAACGTGCGTTGAACTCCGTTTGGCTTTTCGATCATTTCAATGTTAGCTAAAGTGCTGTCTTGAAATTCAAGGCAAGAAATGAGATCATCAATAAGTGCAACTACGAAATGTTCGTCCCAATACGCGGGGGGTTGTGGTTTCCCCACCGGGTGGCGCAAAATATAATCGATTAAGCCCATTTTGCTGCCGGAAAGGTGTTTTATATCAAAATCAAATGGGAGGAGACCGTCAATCCATCTAGTTAGGCGACTTTGATATGTTTTATTATTTTTATTGCTGTTTAGGGCACTAACCAAAGCTTGGTGGTCAGTAATTAACGTAAAACGGCGGCCATACAGATAATATTTAAAATGATCAATGGCCCATACCGCAGCTAGAAGTTCCAACTCGTTTACTGAATATTTAGTTTCGCACGTATTTAAAAATCTGGAGGCATATGCCACCGTAGCCCATCCATCTGGAGTTTCTTGTTCCAGCGCTGCTCCAATACCATCGCGGCTTGCGTCGCACACTATTCTTGTCTCACGATTACTTACGAAATGTCGATTTTCTGTGATGTTTTGGACCGCTGTAAGGATGGTTTTAAATGCCTTATCATGTTTTGTTCCCAAACGTAGTGGATTTTTGAAGAAGATGATAAAAGTGGTCTCAATGGTGCACACAGTTGAGCCAGATTTGGTATAAATTTATTTAAATGGTGGACTGATCCCATAAAACTTTTTAATTGTTTGAACGTTGTAGGGTGGTGGAGTTTAGTGATTGCGTCGGTTTTCTTGTGCATTGGTATGGTTCCGTATTCATTTATGACAAAACCCAGCCATTCGACTTCTTTACAGCAGAATTTACACTTATTTACCGAAATATCCATATTTTCTTGATCTAACTTGTCTAAAACCCTTTTCAATTTATCGATATGTTGTTCTTTTGTTCCGTGGGATATAATCAAGATGTCGTCGAGAAAAGCGAAAGTATCTTTTTTGTTGTTTAAAGTTAGGTTAATGGCTTTCTGGAATTCTGCGGGCATATCCGTGAGCCCGTAGAATCCAGTTTGAAATTGATAAGTGCCGGTTGCTTGTCCGTCAATTATACTAAAATTACACTGCGTTTTAGTTATATCATCTAATTTCAGTTGACTGTCGGCATATCGAAGGTCAATGGTGAAAAAATATGTTGTCCCTGGTTTTCCATTACCCTCTTGAGCTGATTGAGCTACGTTGTCCAAGAGTACGTCGATATTCGGCATTTGATACTTGTTTTTATGTATCGCTTTGTTAATTTGTTTTGAGTCCATTGCTAGTTATATTGTATGATCTTTCTTTACAGTTATTACAATTTGACTTATGAACAGTTTGTCATTACAGCTATCAAGTTTCACAATATGGCCTTGATCAATTAAAAATTTGATTTCTTGTTCAACTTTTTCCTGAATATGTATCGGAATTCTGCGTCCTTTTTGTTGAAGCGCCTTGAAATCGTTTAGAAACTTTGTGTGAACCATATGGTTTTTTGAACGTCCGATGCGTGTACACAACCCCGGGTATGTTGATTTGACCCAATTGGTCATGACTGGATCTGATTGGTCTGAGTCAGCTATATAATTGATTGACTTACCAGTTGGTTTTTCTTGGTGAAGATGTATGCCTAGTTGCGGTAGGAGATTTCTTCCCAAGATATTCGCCCGTTTATCGTCAACCACAATAAATGGGGCGGTGTTGATTGTCCACCCTCCTGACTCTATTGGTGTAATCAGCCTGCCGATCGTAGGAATTTTGTAGCCATTATAGCATGCCATTCTATTTGCCTCGTCATCTTGGTTCAACTGAATGCGTCTTGTATTTGTCACTGTAATCTGTAGTGTAGTGGCTGTTTTATTGTTGACAAATGACGTTGGAGACCCTGTATCCGCAATGAAAACAATATCATTGTCCCCTATCTTTACCCGATTGAGGTGTCCTTTCAAGTCGTCCGCCTTTAGTTTGTCTGCCGTTTCCTCTTGGAAGCTCACTGCGTTTACGCTGTGGTCATTTGGATGGATGAGGTCCCATCCCGGAACGACATCCCCTGCCTGGAGATAATCGACGTACGCCGTTATATCTGTGTCCTGCAAATTTAGTTCGGGATCTTGTTCTTCACTGATTGCATTGACGTTTGAAGAATTACAGAGTCTGGCGTAGTGTCCTCTTTTCGTGCATTTTTTTGCAGATTTTATCTTTTGCCGGGCATTGTTGAAGATGTCCGGGTCCGAACGGATTTCCGCACTTAAAACAAGATTGTTTTCTGTCGCTGCCTTGTCGTTGTGAAGTTCCCCGCTGTGGTTGTCCTCGACCTCTGTTCCCCCGTCTATTATTACGATATGAGTCCCCTCCTCGTTTTTGAATGAACCCAACTGGTTCGGATTTTATGCCTGTCTGCTGAGAAGAAAATGTTGAGGAACCTTGCTTTCGTATTTGGAGCTGGTTTTCCAAACCTTTCTCTCTTCGTATTGCATATTCGAATGCTTGTGCTTGGGATTTCGTCTCGGCCAGTAGGTCTTTTTGTACCTCATCATTCGTCATATTTGCTGTGAATAGATCTCGAATAATTTCGGTTTCCAAAGTGGGACATTTGTAGTTGGGACATTTGAAGTTTCCTTTAATGAAAAGTTCAGTGAGGCCACAGTGGAACTGCTCTAACCTTTCCGTCTTGTTCTGCTTTCTGGTGAACGCTTCGTATCTATCGAACGTAACGTTGCGGTCTTTCATGAAGAGATGCTCTAATCTATTCCAAAATGCCGTCGTTGATGTTTCTTGTATTTTTAAATCTGGGAAATGTTGACTGAGACGTCTTTGTCTCTCGTTTCCGAGACTGAGGTAAATATAGCTTCGTACTTTTATGTCGGCTTCCTCCCAAGGAATTCCATCCACGGTGGGTCCCAAGTTATCCAATTGAGCACACTGGTTATCCCACTGGATCTTTTTCTCTTGGTTGCGTATGTTCCGGTCCCTAGTTTGCGATTGCGTTTCCCCCTCGATAGGGAGTTCATAACCAGGTTCTTGGGGTTTTCGTACTACGGGTGGATCTCGTAATAGTTTTTGCTGATTTATTCCGTCTTTTGCGACGATTCCTAAATAGAGCTGCTGGTTCCATTTCTCCCACGCGGTTGGGGGTTCCGCCGAGGCTTTCTGCCAGAATGGGGCGATACCCAGTGGGTTTTTTGTGAGTCCGGGCTGCGCCATGTTATACCCACGGATTCTGTGTATATCGGTTAGATATGATTTGAGACATACTGTGTAATAGAATTAGGAAATAAGAAGAGTTTGTTATCAACTTAAAATCAATCGATAATGTTATGTCTGATTCGAATCTGACCTCGAAATCATGAGAGCGACAGAGACTCATAAATAACTATTGAATATGGAGTTAGGTTTAATAGGTTTTTAATTTAGATTACACATCTATATGATTACGTTTACATAAGGTTACATAAGTAGGTATGGTTAAAGGTTAGAACTATAAACAATCTATGTAACGTGTTTTAGTTATACTGAGTTCTAATGGATATCCAGTATATCCGTACGGATAACACCTCAAGAGCATTTGTCGAAAGACTGAGAGTTCATCCAAGTAAAATGGCCTCGACTTTCTAGAAAGCTCGCAATAATTTCAAATTTGGTCATTGGAGTCCAAAGGAAAACCAACTAAAACAAGGACAGCCGCTCCGACAATTTTCATTTCAACCTAAACCAAAAATTATCTTTTCAAATTTGTGACAACTTTTTTGAGTGCTGTGATGAGGAGAGCTAGACCCAAGCCTAAAACACTTGTAAAATTGGCCAAATTAACTTAAAGTATCTTCCAAATGGAAAATCAAAATTTTTTCAATTTTTCCTTTTTTACGCAAATTATCTTTTGATTTTTGTTTGCTAAGGAAGCGCTAAAAGAGCTCATAATTTTAGCAGTACTTTTCGGTTCTGAGAGAACGCCTTCTGTGAGAAAGTTTATTGAATAGGGCACATGGTCTCTGATTTTTTTTTGCTGTTGCAGAATCGCTACAGACGAAGACAAAGTTTGTTTAGAGACATTTAGCAGAAATAAAATGTTTTTAATTCTGAGCAGAATTAAAATACATTGTTTATCGCAATTCGGGCCCATAATTTTAAAACAAAAAATGGATTTTTGGCTTTTTTAGTCAATCAAAATTTCTGCTGAAACTACTGGGTCAATTACCGACAAAGTTATTTCGAAGCCATGAAATATACCCCATTAAACTTCAGGTTTCTTTGTTTTGTCTGGATAATTGATATCAACACTGTAAATTTTCCGGATTAAAACTTTTTTTCACGGCTCAAATAAAAATTTTCCCCATTATAAAACCTCTTCGCTTGCTTTACTCGGTCAAAAAAGACAAAGCAAAACTTTTAAACCAGTTTTCGCAGACACTGAGAAAATTTATGAAAAATTTATGTTTTTGTTCGAATTACGATTGAAAAGGCGTTAGCACGATATACCACTCAACCCACTCTGAAGAATATTTGTGGCAACTGACTACTTTGCGTGGAAATAAGTAACCAAAAAAATTTAAACGGAACAAGTATTGTAAGACGGTCCTCTTAAAAATTAAAACGGATATACAGTCGCACTCATTGAACAAGAAGTTTGAAATTACGCTTTGCAAGATTGACTTAGTTGAAATTATGAGCAATCAAACTTTCCGGATCATTTTTTCAATAGCGTCAGTACAAACAACGAACTTAGGTTCAGATGACAGATATTTTTGCAAAACTTTTTTAAAGAAAATATAACATGTCAGGCAAGAAAGTTATTCAGAGTTCGAAACAACGAACTAGTAGTTGAAAATTTTATAAGTTTCGTTTTTGTCTTCTTGAATCACTTGCGTTCCACTTCTCTCAGCGGATTTCCAAAGTAAGTCACTGGCACGGGCCCAGTTCCCGCCTTCTCCCATATCTCGTGATAGCGCTGCTGTTGCTTGTCCAGTTTAGCTTTTGCTTGTCTTTTCTTGGTCTGAGATTTCTGATAGCTGAAACTTTTTGTGAACGCTGTTTTTAATGAGCCCCACAAAGCTAAAACACGGTAAAACAAAAACTATTTCTGAAAACCTTTAAGCCCGTTAGTTGTGAAACTCAAATAGATTTCATCAAGAAATCAGCAAACCGAGAATAATCAGAAACAAAAAAAATTAGAAAATGAATTGAGAGAATCTTTTTTCCCAATCTCGTCAGCTGCCTTCCATTTAACTTCTTCATGAACCAAAAAAAAACTTAACACAGAGGCGAAGCTGCACTTCGCAAACACAAGCTAGAAAAAGGCAAAAGTAGCTTTAAAAGGGTCAAAACAAGAAAAAAGGTATTCTTGTTTTGACCCTTTGTTTTGAAACAGCCTCCGCTCAACTCTTAAATGTAGCCAACACAGAGGCGAAATTGCACTTCGCATACACAAGCAAAAGGCTGTTTTCCAGTTCCACTCCTTTGATTTTTTCGGAAATTTGATCAATGAAAACTATTTAAAATAATTTTTCATGTTATAAACTGCCTTAAAACGTGTCAGCGTGAACAGGTGAATAAATTTTTACAACATTTCTTACATGTAAAATGCCGTGTGAACATTTTTTGAACAGCTTTATTTTGAAACTATAAGAGGGGGTGGGAAACTGGAAAACAGCCAAGCAAAAATATGACCGAAACGCTACTAGGGAAAAACTGAATGAGTAAAACATTAAGTCTACAAAGTTTTATAAGTGACGCACGCCAATTATGATTCGACATAATTGCTAAGTGACGCGGCTCTTTTCCTTATCCCCAACAGCGAAATTTTAAGAGTAAAATTTTGTTCACATTATCCGATTTTTACAAAAATTGGTATGCGGACTAATTAGGCTATGACAAACATATTTGGTCTTCATACTTAACCTTGTAAAAACCCTCGTTTGAACAAAAAAATTGATGTATAAGTGAGGTGGGGGTAAATGAAAAAAAAGCCAGGGACACAAACCAAATAAGACGCACTAGCAGTACCAGTCAATTTGAAAGAAGAAAATTACCAACTAACATGCCTCAATTTATAGATCGGACGCATTTAAACTAGTGTACGAAAAAGTTCATTAAAAACATCCAACCCTGTCCAGGTTCGATCCCTCTTACTTTGCTGCTGGTCTCCTTCCCTACGTCTCTGCTACAGATCCATGATGGCTTGAAGCTAAAATGCCACTTGTAATATAATAGTCTGTGTTAATATCCTTAGTATTGGCTGTACTTAATAGCTGGATCAAAATGAACACTTTCAAAATAAATAAATTTTGCCGCAAGAATATTTGCGACTTAGTTTGGAAAAAAGACAGTTCATACTATAACAAAAGCTATGCTGTGTAAAACTAGGAGCCCAGCTGATCCTGGAAATACCGATTTGATATATATTTTTTAAATGTACTGAAGGTAATGCGTAATTTTCAAAATGTTTCAAAATGTCAAAAATTGGACATTCGCCAAGTCCATAGCCGATTCCTATCAACTAAAAGAGAACATGCTTTTGCAGGAAAGATTACATCTTCGTTTGATTACTTTCTTTTTTTTCACAATAGGCACGGGCATTTTTCGAAAATCGAACAAGTGGCTCAAAAGGTCAAAATGGAACAAAAATGGGTAATCTGCAGAGAATTACTCACAAAAATTGAAAACATTACTTATGCAGGGGATACTCTTACAGTTTTTCCTTCGATTGAACCCTTAACCTCAGATTTGGCACCGTAGCTTTCGAGAACAATAAAAAAATATCATAGCAAACATTCTTTCGATTACACTTCTTATATCAGACTCGACAGGGCAGTTGCTACACAAATCTCCGAAAAACGGTATAAAGTCCCAACCTAATTTTCTACAAAAGGTCAAAAATAGGTCGAAAGTTTTCCCCGCCAAATTTTCGAATGTTGTATGTAGCACGTCTGGTGAAGTAAAAAGAGATAAGCGAAAAATCCAGACACACAAAAGAGTATCCTGTCTCTTCATTGAAACCATTTTTTGAAAACCAGTAAAGAAGTTCTCGAAAAAAAAATAAAATTTTGCAAAATTTCAAAAAAAAGTTTCAAAAAAATCATTACACAGAAGCGAAGCTGCACTTCGCAAACACAAGCTAGAAAAAGGCAAAAGTAGCTTTAAAAGGGTCAAAACAAGAAAAAAGGTAAGAGAAAGTAAAATAAAGAAAAGGCTGTACCGGAATCAAACCCCCACCTAGAGAACAAAAGTCATATATGCTAACATCAGAGCCGCCTCCGCTCAACTCTAAATTGTAGCCAACACAGAGGCGAAATTGCACTTCGCATACACAAGCAAAAGGCTGTTTTCCAGTTCCACTCCTTTGATTTTTTCGGAAATTTAATCAATGAAAACTTATTTAAAATAATTTTTCATGTTATAAACTGCCTTAAAACGTGTCAGCGTGAACAGGTGAATAAATTTTTACAACATCATTTCTTACATGTAAAATGCCGTGTGAACATTTTTTGAACAGCTTTATTTTGAAACTATAAGAGGGGGTGGGAAACTGGAAAACAGCCAAGCAAAAATATGACCGAAACGCTACTAGGGAAAAACTGAATGAGTAAAACATTAAGTCTACAAAGTTTCATAAGTTACGCACGCCAAATATGATTCGACATAATTGCTAAGTGACGCGGCTCTTTTTCCTTTCCCCCAACAGCGAAATTTTAATAGTAAAATTTTGTTCACATTATCCGATTTTTACAAAAAAAATTGGTATGCGGACTAATTAGGCTATGACAAACATATTTGGTCTTCATACTTAACCTTGTAAAAACCCTCGTTTGAACAAAAGAAATTGATGTTTATGTGAGGTGGGGGAAATGAAAAAAATCCAGTGACGCAAACCAAATAAGATGCACTAGCAGTACCAGTCAATTTGAAAGAAGAAAATTACCAACTAACATGCCTCAATTTATAGAGCGGACGCATTTAAACTAGTGTACGAAAAAGTTCATTAAAAACATCCAACCCTGCCCAGGTTCGATCCCTCTTACTTTGCTGCTGGTCTCCTTCCCTACGTCTATGCTACAGATCCATGATGCCTTGAAGCTAAAATGCTACTTGTAATATAATAGTCTGTGTTAATATCCTTAGTATTGGCTGTACTTAATAGCTGGATCAAAATGAACACTTTCAAAATGAACACATTTTGCCGCAAGAATATTTGCGACTTAGTTTGGAAAAAAGACAGTTCATACTATAACAAAAGCTATGCTGTGTAAAACTAGGAGCCCAGCTGATCCTGGAAATACCGATTTGATATATATTTTTTAAATGTACTGAAGGTAATGCGTAATTTTCAAAATGTTTCAAAATGTCAAAAATTGGACATTCGCCAAGTCCATAGCCGATTCCTATCAACTAAAAGAGAACATGCTTTTGCAGGAAAGATTACATCTTCGTTTGATTACTTTCTTTTTTTTTCACAATAGGCACGGGCATTTTTCGAAAATCGAACAAGTGGCTCAAAAGGTCAAAATGAAACAAAAATGGGTAATCTTCAGAGAATTACTCACAAAAATTGAAAACATTACTTATGCAGGGGATACTCTTACAGTTATTCTTTCGATTGAACCCTTAACCTCAGATTTGGCACCGTAGCTTTCGAGAACAATAAAAAATATCATAGCAAACATTCTTTCGATTACACTTCTTATATCAGACTTGACAGGGTAGTTGCTACACAAATCTCCGAAAAACGGTATAAAGTCCCTACCTAATTTTCTATAAAAGGTCAAAAATAGGTCGAAAGTTTTCCCCGCCAAATTTTCGAATGTTGTATGTAGCACGTCTGGTGAAGTAAAAAGAGATTAGCGAATAATCCAGACACACAAAAGAGTATCCTGTCTCTTCATTGAAACCATTTTTTGAAAACCAGTAAAGAAGTTCTCGAAAAAAAATAAAATTTTGCAAAATTTCAAAAAAGAGTTTCAAAAAAATCATTACACAGAAGCGAAGCGCACAACAAAAATCGGCTCTAATATTTCTAAAAACTTAAATAAGAAAAAGTAAAATAGGCCCCTAATTAGTAAAAATTCGGTGAAGTGTAAACTCGAACCTACGACCTAAAAATTATGAATTTCATGCACTAACCACTCAGCCACAGACGCTTAACCCGTCACAAACAGTAACTACAAATAAAGCCTAGAAGAGATGCTACAGATCGTGACTGTAACAAAAAGGCACACAAGTGAACACTTTTAATGAACTCTTTTATTTGCGAGTTAGTTAGAAAAGAAGAAGATTGGTACTAAAACACTCGCTGCTCGCAAGCGTACAAAAACAAAACCCATACATTGTCATAACATCTGCTTTTCATCAAACAAATACTAGCCATTAATAAACTAGATACAAAAATAAAATGACATGGAGCAGAATTTAACCAGATATAAGAATGCGAAGGTGCCACAAAACAATGAGCAACTTTATTGTGGATAAAGTAGGAAAAAAGTCGATACCGTAACAAGGCACTGCGCTACACCCGTGTAAAAACTTTTAATCATTATGGATTAAGCTATATGCTCAATATAGAACGCAAATAGGATATCAATGTAACTACTTACTCATTTTCTCATCTTTTTTCAAGTGTGACACATCCATTGCCTGCATTGCAATTTCCTGATGTCTTGGCATGCGCCTTGGGTAGTTCTTGGGCAATTCAACATATTTCGCCACATGTTTTTCAATCTCCGGCCTTCTGGTCACAAAGTTCTGCATACCAGCTACACTAAGCGTTGTCAATACGTAAATGTTGAACGCCTAAACAGCCAAAAACTACGAACAAATATTTTTCATAAAAAAGTGATTTGGGGGTGGAGGGAAGCCCCTTCTACTCAGCGATTCCACACCCTAGCAGGCTAAAGGATCTCACATTTGGTACTATTTTAAGACATCGATTTTTGGCTGACTGACCCTAACACATACAACATTCAGGAGCCGATCTAGGATTTTCGCGAGGGGGCGGGGGGGGGGTTTGGATTTTCGGAAAATTTTCGAAAACTTTGTCGTCCTTTTTTTTATTAGGTCGACCAAATAGGTTTCTCAGCTCACCAAAATCACTATAAAGACCCCATTGACCAAATTTTCTGCGCAGCAGCCAAATTTTCAAAAAACGGGCCAAAAAACGTTTTGAGGCACTTTTTGGAAAATGTTGACTAGAAAATCGCGTTTTTTCTGTGCGCGCTCCCCCCTCAAAATTAGTATATTTTGGCGCCAAAGATTTTCGGGTCAGTCAGCCAATAATGGATTTCTCAAAATAGTACAAAGGGGAGACCCTCTGGGTCGGCAGATGGTCGACTCCCTGAAGGGGGTCGTTCGCCCCCTTTCACCTAAATCCGCTGGCGACTACATTTAAGGGCGTATTTTTTGGTCAATTTTTTCCAAAAAAAAATGCCTAAGAACAGCTTTTTGTCCAGTTTTTTCAAAAAATTTTGTCGACCAATCGGAGTTGAGTATTCAAAAGTTCGAAAGAAACAAGCAATAATGTCAGTAAGTTTCGAACAGTTTAATAGGGCGCTGATTTGGATGAAAATTTGGGAGCATTCGCGCATAAGATTAGCCCCCACCCCCTTATTGAAGCCATGAGTAAAATTTTTTAAACTTTGATGTACAAGATAGATTAAATCTCATATACCGTTCAAAAATGACGTCGGCTTGGACTATGCGACCTCTAAATATGATTTGGAAAAAAAACTTTAAGCAAGGGAACCCGAAAACTGTTTTAATAAAACCTTTCAAGATCGGCGAATCATCAACGTTCCGAAAATCACAACATAGCAAATTTTGCATGCTTAGTCGCATTTTACATGCATAAATAAATTACAAACTTAGTCGAAAAAAAAAGATTACGAAACCAGAAAAACCCGCTAGTTTTACGAAGAACATGAAGTATACTTAATTAGTGTACTTACAGAAGCCAAAACTAAATATTGAGCATAATTAAGTGAGCCACACAAACAAGCAAAATCCTTATAACGCTAGAAAATTCAAAACCAAATTGACATTAAGCAGACAAATTATTTTAAAAACCAACACACAGTAATTTCGAATTTCAAAATAAAAAAATATACGGCCTTAAATTTAATTGAATTTCCAGAAAAATTAATCACTGACAGCCTTCTGATAAAATTAACCCAATTTAAGAAAACTGGATCATTACGCAAATTTTCTAATCTGTTACTTTGTATTTGTACTTTTCAGATGCCGATGGGTCAAATATGATCTGCTTCCTAAACAGTTTTTATAGACACCGATTAATATTGGTAGCAGGAGTTACCAGATTAATATCCTGAGAGTCGACCCACCGGTGCTTTCGGATGTTTCTAACTAAGATCAATGGAAGAAATAAGTCGAAAATGGAAAGCAGTCACAACACTAGAGGCTAAGAAAAAGCCCATGTTATTGTTCTATCACTCAATGGAAAACCAAATTCATGGCCTTCAATGAGTTTAGTAGGCCAGAGACAATGGCAATATTGCATTATATACAGACTTCAACGAAATTAGCAGGCCTGAGACAATGGCAATTTCTGAGTTTGTTGCTTGTTTGAGCAAAAACAGATAAATGCAAAGAAACACCAGTGCAATGTGTCAGATTATATTCTTGCGTTTAAGCTTCTTGACAGTGCATCTCTAGATAAATCTACAAGACAGATGGTCTCAACTGCTCGTTCGGAAATAAAGTTTGAGCATATGAAAACTGCTAAGAATCAAATTTACGATGTGAGTACCAGTTGTTCGATCCAGGAAAGGGCGAAAGAAGGTATTACTTGTTTGGAATCAAGCAAAAAGCATTTTCAACAAGGTTTTGAATGTCGTGGGGGCGGCAGACTCAGAGGAAGTGGAAACTAAGGCAGACAGCGTAGTTCTGGTGATCAAAATCGTCAAAATCCTTTTGTTTATGGTGAACTTTCATGTTGCAATGTCCGTGAATCTACGAATCACTTTGCTCGCAATTGTCCCCATCGCACAAGCAAAAGATTTATCATTGAATCTGCAGAGAGACCGGGCGATACGGTGGAGGCGCAGCCAGAAGAAGGTTTCATAGGGTTGCAATTGTCAAAACTTTTGTTAATTGGAATTTAACAAAAGTTTTGGCTACAAAATTGGAGACACCATGTTCAAAAACTCTTTGTGGTGCTATAAGGCTCAAGGAACTCTTTGAGACACTTCTTGACGAGTCTTTGAATCTTTTACTTTAGGACATAAAAACTACGTTTCGTTTCGGAGACGCTGCTCTAGTCCAATCTATTGGCCGATGTCTATTCCAACTATCGCAATCGGCTAAAGTTGTCTCATTGAAACTTAAGTTGTGAGCAAATAATACCACTGTTATAAAAATTCGACTTTGAAGCGAGCGAAAACGACACTCAATGTGGAAACAGACAAAGTTAAAACGCTTAGATCCAAAATTCAGGTGATCCCGACATCTAGTGGTCAATATGCGATTCCTATCATGACTAATCAGATTAAAAGTTCGACAAAAAAGGCGTTGTTTTCAAAAGTGACCGCTTTTGTAGGGATTCAGATAAATATCTGAAAGCTGCACTTCACATACAGTTTGATCTTTTGCGAGGAATGAAGCTTGAGAGGCTTCATTCCTTGCAAAAGAGAAAAGAGTAGCTCTCGGAAGAAAAACACTTGATTTCCGGACCAAATCTTCTTTGCAGAACATCACCAACACTCCTGACTCATGCCGCTTACGTAAGAAAAAACAGAAAGTCAGTTGTTGGGTTTGCGCCAGCCAGAACTTTTAATAAGGTTGTTGCACTTGATTAACAACAACTTGGTGGTAGACTTTGTTATCTCCATATCAATGATTTGAACAGTCGACAGAGTGCAGCTGCTACCATGAAATCCATGAAAGCCGATGTGATAATCGGCAAAGTTTTGGATAATTGGGTTGCAGTTTACGGCGCACCAACAGTTGGATTTTTTACGGACAATGGAGGCGAGTTTAACTACAATCAGAAAAAAGGTTAAACGTTTAAAAATCTTTAAGTAAAACCACTGCTGGCTATTCTCCATGGTCTAATGGAGTTTTAGAACGCGAAAAGCGGTTTCGACAAACTCATTGCTGTATACCCTAAACGCAGCGCTTTCTTGGCAAAAAATGCACTGATCAAGGTCAATAATTTCAGTTCTCAACAACTAGCTATGGGTTTCAACCCCAAATTACCGTCCGTCAATGTCAAAAAGAAGCCCGCTTTTTACCCCCAAGACATAATCGAAATAAAATTACATAAGATTCCCCAATTTCCGGCTGTCCTTGCTGATGAGAAGTACACGTTATACTCGGAAAGACACAATCGGAATAAATTTACGTAAACGTATTGCTAAGACACAAACGGGATAAGTTTAGTAAGACCTTCAGAAGACTCCTTATACCCCAAGACGCAATCGAAATTTAACCCCGCTCGCGGACTAAATGTCCCAGGAGAAAATCCCACCGGATATAATCCCCCACGACTAAATTACCCATAGGACCAAATCCCCCTAGGACAAAATCCCCATATTTTATTCAGTATGATGGAAATCAAATTGTACACATATAATTTCATTTTTCTATTGATTTCATTTTGAATTGACTTCCATTTAAACAGGCATCGCCATTTTGACATGACTTTTCCGCAACTTTAAGATTCCAACTTTCAGTTGACTTCCTATAAGAATGATCTTTGATTGCAAAAATTAAAAAGCCAAGTGGCACAGTCAGTACGACAAGTGAATGCAAAATAATGTTGATTCCTTCAGCGTGACTTCGAATCCCAAAAACGACATTTTGTGCAATCAATGTAAAGGTCTGTTAAATTTACCCCCAGGGGTCAAAAATCCCGCGCTTCCACTAAGGTGGGGGTGCGGGATGGTGTGAAAGGAAGTCCCGATTCCTAGTAAACCCTCCTATTTATTGTGTCAAAATTTAGACCCCTAGGACCACGGAATGTTGATTTTGGAGGGGGTCCGAATCTTTGAGTATAACTTTGAACTTAATTAAACGTTCATTTATGTTGACTGATTAACAAATTAACACTCGATATGGTCCCAGCAAAACAAACAGTGTAACAGGTGTGATACTAGTTTGCGTGATCGCAATTTAATCTCCCCATTAGCAATTAAACGTTTGCCTCTTGACGGAAAATTTTGTTGTTTGTAAAACACGTGCATTTTATTAACTACCGACTCATTCAAAACCATTGCAATGCAAAATGACAAAGTCAAATTTGTGTTAAGCAACAAAAGGGGGCAGAAAGCACTTCACAACAACTACGCTTACTATAACAAAAAAGTTAGTGAATTCTATTCAGTGGGAGTGCGAGTTGCGGCGATCAAAGCAACAATGTAAGGCAAGCATATGGACTTCAAACGGCAAAGTCCTCAAATCGTCGCCACATGAGCACACGAACGGCCCTGACTATGCTTTAATGAAAGCGTATACCATTAACGAACAGATCAAGCGGACACAGCGGCCAGCGCCGACTCTTTGACACAAAAGGTGCAGTCAAATGCCCTGGCGAAAGCCACAACAGAATGCTCCTCGTAGATGCCGGTGGTGCCTCACCTCGAACGAGGGATCAGAGGAATCCGACATGAAAACCGTAGCCAGCCACCGATCCCAACAGGATTCGATTTTAGACTGCCTGTTAAATACATGCAAACCATGAATGGAGAGGGTTTTCTTCTTGATGATTCGACAATTCCGGGAACCGGTAAAAGATATTTGGTTGTTGGCAACCAACAAAAATATCAAAATCTTAAACTCTT